TTAAGAATCCAAAACCTACTTTTTTGAAGGTTCCTTATAAAACCCATGTTAGGGTTTAAAATAAGAACCTACAAGAAAGTGGGTTTTGGGTTCTTAAGGTAGGGCTTACAGGGCTTATAGGGTTTAGAGGGTTTAGGCTTTGTAGGGGTTTTAAGGTGTATAGGGTTTAGGGTCTTTGGTTTAGGGTTTAGGGTTTAGTATTTAGGGTTTGGGTTTAGGGGTGGCCAGGCTTCTCATCGGTTGTTTACGTTAGGGTTTACGGTGCTGGCGTGCGGCCAGATGCTGTTGCGAATGCTTTGGGGGGGGGGGGGGCAGTCCAGCATCCCAAGCCCTAAACCCTAAACCTTGCTCTCCTCCCTTCCAGTTCTGTCGAGGAGGGCCCTAAACCCTAAACACTCACTAAACTCCGAAAGCCCTCAACCCTAAACCCTTAAATGATCCCTGAACCCCTAAAAACCCCCAAACCCTAAATGTTCCCTGAACTTTTGCCTAGAGGTCTGGAGGGGTTGCTTTCTGAAGACAGGATGGGCAGTCACGAGTCACGAGAAGGAGCGGTTTAGGGGTTTAAGGGTGTCTGGTTGAGGGTTTCCAGTTTAGGGTTTTAGGGGTTTAGGGTTTAGGGTATATAGGAGCTAGTTAATTTAATAGGAACATGAAGGAGTTCAACAACAACGAAATCCCTCAACCGGGCAGTTTCAGCCGAGGCACGAACAAGTTTTTGACCGCCGTTGAGAGGTTCCTGTGGCTCGGCTACACGATGATTTGAGGTTGAAAATCCATAGACCCCGATATATAGATCGGACGAGCTAGTACTACTATCCCCTATCACCCCTATAGAGCCCTATCCCTGTCCTTGTACAACTTTTGCGAGCTCATAAATCCAAAGCGTAAATCCTAAACCCTATCCCTGTCCCTAAACTTGGGGCGCCGATGCCTTAACACTTTTCTGACATATCGAATTATGCTAGTAGAATGTAATATCCCTGAACCCCTGAAAACCCTAAACCCTAGATGATCCCTGAACCCTGAAACTCTAGAACCCTAAATCCTAAATGATCCCTGAACCCCCAAACCCCTAAACCCTAAATGATCCCTGAACAAGTTCCAAGATGTTCTTTCAGGCAGTGGTTGGGGTTCCTTCTCATTTCGCTATAATATAGAAGCCAAACTAATTCTTTAGGTTCCTAATTATGATTATAATTATACCATGAAGGAGCCCAAACCCCTATTCTAATTGTTAAGGGCACTACATTAAAGATATTGAGCAGTAAGAACCAGGATGCTAGGATACCGATGGACCGTTTAGGAGTGAATCCAGGTTTTAGTGAAAGGTTTTATGGCTTTCCTGTTCGAGGACTGAAGTTTTCAGGATTTTGGGCTTGGTGTTCACTTTGTAATTTCGGGTTTAAGTGTTTGAGGACCCTAAACCCTAAAACCAATACCCTAAACTCAACCCACACCCCAAACTCCTAAACCCTTCTCTCAAAGGCTTCTGGTCGATCATGCCTCTGCATTTGCAGCCACTTCACATGCGCGGAGGACACACCGACCTGCTTTATAAGGGGAATGACGGTTCAGGGTTTGGGTTTACAGGCTTTTCTGTTTAGGGTTTAGGGTTCCTTTGAAGGGACACCTAAACAGGGTTCTGCGGGGGTTCTTGAATGCATATCTGTGTTTAGGGCTTGTCTAGCGTATTGGGTTTAGGATTTATGTTGGTTCAGGGTGTTTGTAGGGTGTCATAGGGTTTTACATTCAGGCTGCTCAAGGTTTGGATAGGGTTTGATACCCAGACCACCGGAAGGATCTAAAAGATAGATCCCGTAAGCGGGCTCCTATAACGTACCTTTCAGTAGTTTGGGTCCCAAATTAGGGAATCTACTTTTTAGATCCTTCCGGGGGTCGGGGTAAGGGTGTTGTAAGGTCTTGGTAAGCTGTTCATAGAGTTGTTCACGGTGCCACGGGTTGACCGGGCTTGTGGAGGGACCAATTTGCTTGTGAGGTAGAATGTCATGTATCAGGGGAGTTCAAAAAACCTTTAAGGTGAGATCCTGAGCTAACTCTACCATAATCTTTCGTCTCCCCGCCTTGTGGTGCAAACTGTCAAGGTGCAAACAGACCCCAGGACAGCGAAGCACTGGACGTAGGGTTTTGGGGTTTCTGGATTTGTTGGTTTTTGCTTACAGATGCCGGGCTTTGAGGGGGGGGTTGTGTTTGAGAGTCTGACTTGCCTGGTCAAAGGGTAGAACCCAGAGAACCCGATACCCCTTGATTAAGGAATATACCTTAAATCATACCTATAGTTTAAGGTATGTTCCTTCATGAAGGTGTATTGGGTTGTCTGGGAACTTCAATCGTTTGGGGCTTGTGTGTTTGATTGGTTTGAAGCTTTGAGCTTCGGGGTAGAAGAACCCGTGAAATTTTCTGCAGGGGTCGGAATAACGTGTAGTAGTTAGTGGGGCAATTTCCTGCCAGTCCCTACGTAATTACATGATAATCTAATCTCCAAAACCTGTTCTGATCATTAAGGCGGCAGCTTCCAGCAACCCACCCCCTAAGCCCTAAACCCTAAACTGCCCGAAACCCT